CCTAAACCCCTCGATAGCAGATCATGCTGGGGTAATGAAATGCTTCCGTTTCAATTGGCTGATTTGCTCTGGGCCTTTGCGGTATTGCTCTTGCAAAATAAACTGCTTCCTTGTGTAGTTAGCCATATTTTACTTCTGGCTGATATACTGTTGGTTTATGACTTTCTCTGGGTTGTAAAATCCTTTGGGGATCCTTCAGGGTAAAAGATAACACGCGTGGCTGTTATAACCCAGTTATTTTGTCAGTTTACGAAGAAGGATTAACATTTTTTTCTCCGTGCGCTGAGTTCTGTTTTTACATATTCTGTATGTGCCCGGACATATAAGGGAAAGATGGCTTTTAAAACAGCATGCTTTTGCCTGCGTGGCTTATGTTTCCTTTGTTATATATGCTGTAGCTGATGAAGGGGCCAGCTTATCTTATCTTACTGTTATCAGCATCTCTTACTGTCTTACAGGTTTGCAGCATGAAGGAATATTCAGAGTGTCTGGATCACAAGTTGAAGTGAATGACATAAAAAATGCATTTGAGAGAGGTAAGAAAGATGTGTTCCAGTATCTCAGAGATTATTGCCAAATGTATGAATTTGTTTAAATATTCTGAAATGGCCTGTTTTGAATGCAACTTGATATATTATGTTCCTTTGATTTTTGTGTTTCCTAAGTGAATCTAGCCCAAACGCTTCCCTAGTGCTCATTAACCTTGAATAATCAGTTGTTTGGCATTATGCTTTATATCTTCTAGTGTGTCTGTATAATAAATGTTCTGAATTCAATCTTCTCACATGTCTGATAGCTTATTGATTATTTGTAACACTAAAGGATATAGAGAATTCCATTATTGGGTGTAACTGCATTTTCCTACCCTCTCGTCCCCCAGCTCTTCATGATTAGGCTGGCTGCTAGAGGATGAAATTTTATGTTTTCCAGGTTCTTGAGGCACAGCCTGGCTACATGTATTCTAAATATCAGCAAGCGAGAGAGTGAATTTCAAGACACCGTTAACTTGACGTAGCTTTTAATAGATTTGATTTTCTATGTGAAGAACCATTCCATACAAAGGCAAAGAACGGCTGGGAGCCTCCTGACTCATCCGCTTCTAGCTGGGCTGCTCTCCCTAGCAGAGCAGGTTCAGAAGAGCTTCCCTGTCAGGCAGTCCTTGCAGCCTGTCTCCCCAGTCTTGCCTGGGTCACTGAAAACAACAGGGCTTGTTTTAATTCCCTGAATACACCACTCTCAAAGAATACAGTTAGTGTGTTTCTATGCTTGCTGTTGGAAGAAATGAGCAGTAATTAATTAGCCATAGCAAGTTTATTTTGCTTTCGGGAAGAGAGAAATTTAATGAACCACGTGTGTGAAATGTGGCATCTAATTTCACCTGTCTTCATCTCCATCTACCTGAGAATTAAAATCCTCAAGAATAGAGGAAGCAGAGATGTGTCTCATAGGCTGCAGGTAAAGGGTTGATATCAGAATCGGACCCCTTTTTACATATTTTCCCAGTCATCTTGGGAAAATAGCCAGTTGTTCCAACACTAACATACAGAAATAAAAAGGTGGTATTTTTTTTTTTCCTTCATCTCACTTGTCTCTGTAAAACATATGATATACAGAACTGACAAAGTTAACAATAACGTCTCTGCAGTTTATTACTTCACCCAGAACCCATGGTGGCAGTTAATATCGAGGATAATGCTGCGGTTTGTAGTGGCCCATTTATTATCCTGTGTGTTATTAAGATAATAGGCAAGCTTTGGTAATTTCAGTCACATAATGGATATATATAGCTTCAATTTGAGGATTGCCCCATCATTAAATCTAATTATATCTGATAGGGAGTTTTCCCTAGGGAACAACTCCTTAAGTGGGCATCTTTTCTTTTGTAATACAGACAAACTGTGGCATAACTGCAGAGACAAATTATCTGTCCCAGAAACACTCCCCCACCACCACCCCCCCCCTGCCAATTCAACATAAGATGTCTGCATCCTGCTGAGCCAAGTGTACGATGCTCAATGGCCCCTTGCGTGTCCACCGAATCCACCTTAGCTTCAGTTGTGAGTTTGCATAAAGACCTGCTCCGGGACTCATGTAACGTTCCCTTCCGTGGTGGATCTATGAAGTTCACACCCTACCAAAATATCTGGAGCACAGAGCCTGGAAGTGTTACTACTGCTCGAGGAGCAACACCACCCTCCGTGGGTGCAAGGCAGGCGCTCCTGTGTCAGCCTGTAATCTGCTTGGTAGAAAGCTGTCCCTGGTCTCCTGGGATTGCTGTCAGAGGCTTCCCTTCTCGACTGCGATGCATGGGAGAGATCTCTACCTCACGCTGGTTGTAGTGCAGTTGGAGTAGGTGGGATTAACTTTGTGCTGTGTAAATCCTTTTCTCCAGCTGAGGTGCATCCTTCCAGTCTGATGCTTTTCTCCGGTATTCTGATTTTTCTCGCCTGCTTTTCTTTGCTTGTTATGAAGGGGAGGATCCGTTGGCTGGGGACCAGAATGACCACGACATGGATTCAATAGCAGGAGTTCTGAAGCTCTATTTTCGAGGGTTGGAGCACCCTCTCTTCCCCAAGGATATCTTTCATGATCTGATTGCCTGTGTCAGTAAGTATATGAAGATCTGAAAAGAAATAGGATTAATTTTTCTAATCTCCCACTTTTGTCTCCTCCCCTCCCCCTTTTTCCTGACTCTAAAATGAGCTTTTTGTGGTTACTTTGGCTGGGTTTGTGTTGCACTGGTCTCCTGCTCTCTATCAGCCTGAGTCTGGGCAGTTGCCTGGTCACAGCCATCATTATTCTGATAGCGTTTTTTTTATGAATGAGCAAGCAGATAGAAATTAATAGATTTTAAGGGCTGTGTCGTGGATTTTTCTGAGACACTGCTTCGTGACAGGATTCTTTTAAAACAGAATAAAACTAAACCCTCCGCTTCTGAAAAATAATCTTTAAGACCCCTCATCAGAAGGCATCAGAAATACCCTCTCAGAAGCAGGGATCGCCAGCAGGGTTCCTTGCCCTGTGTGCTTTCCCTAGCATCGATGGATACGCACTGCCTGGATGTCTGCTGCTGTGCTTCGGCATGCTCTCTGTAGCTGGCAAGGTGGTAGCCGTATACCTTTTAGCTTCGTAACCACGAGGGGCCATGTGTTGACTGCTGTTGAAGAATATCAATCATGAGGGCAGTCACAGTTGAGTTGTTAACATTTTTGATGGTTTCTAAAGGTGGTTCTGGTAGGCAGAGGGTTGTTTGTGGGTTTTGTATGTGAACAACCTCATTTTAAATGGCCTGACTATTGCCACGTCCTTCAGAATCGAAGAATGATTCTATTGTCCAAGTAGTGAAGTGGCCTTTGCGGTGGCAGCCTTTGAAGTAAAGCAGAAGATAACTGCTTCTAAAATGGCTTGTGGTTTTCTTCTCCTGATAAGTGCATTTACAGAGTTGAATTCACATTATATAAAAAGTAAAATCTGCTTCCAAATAAGTTCTCCCTTCTGAGATGACTTATGCTGCCCACTTATTTCTCAGTAGGCTGTTGCACACAGAGCTTTTTGCCTCACAGTTTAACTATGTTAATTTTCCTTTGAGTGTTACACAATTTCTTTTTTAAACACCCACCTTTCTAAGCTAGCTTGAATGAGCTATTGTGCCAGAACTATTGAAACAGATGACATCCAGTGCTCCCACGCTAGGAAGGAACTTGCAGTGAAGTTTCACGTGTTCAGGGACCTTCATTGTCAAAGGCTTTGCCAGCAGGTTCTGCAGCCTTCGCGTTCCCATGCCGGGCAGTGCCGGAGGATCTGGGAAACGGGCAGACCCTTCCTTCCTCCTGCTGCTGCTCTGCTGGCTGCCCTCCTTAATAGTTCGCACAGGAGCCGTCACAGTATACTGGTTTCGTTTGGACTCAGTGGCCAGCTGTGGATATGGTGATGCGATGACTCTGTGGTCTTTCTTCCTTTCAGCAATGGATAATTTACAAGAGAGAGCGCTCCACATACGCAAAGTGCTTCTGAACCTGCCCAAGACCACTCTGATTGTAATGAGATACCTCTTTGCATTCCTCAATCAGTGAGTATCCCTGAAAGCACCACGGCCCTGCTTGTAGGACTTGGTGTAAACATGATAAATGGCAGAGCCAGCCTTAACGTTGCTGCGTGTGATCCAAGCAACAGCTCAAGGTGCAGATGCCACAGTAGCTTGCTATTGCATCTGCCTTCCTGGGCTTTTCGGCCTTGCTGAAATTCCTCCTGATGCTATGAGTACAATCTCAAAGGAGTTCCAGAGATAAAAGTGAATAATGTGCTGGTAATCCAAGCAAAAAGTGATATGGGGTTCAGCACCAGCAAGGAGCACTATGTACTAAGTAGTGTGAGTAGTGGAGAGTGAGGGTATTTTTTTTTATTTAGTTTTTTTTAAACAGCCCACTGCATCTGGCTGGTTCATTGGATAGCTTGGCAGCAAGGAGTCAATAGTTTCCTCCGGTAGTGTGATCTTGACACCTGAGGTAGCATGAAGGAAAAATGCCCTAACCAGAAAGTTATATATACATTGTCAAAGCCCTTTGTATAGCATTTAGGTGAAAGAGAAATACAACCGTAAGAGAATATTTTGACCAAACAGAGACATGAGAGTTACTGTCTGCTTTTGTAAAGCCCCAGTTCATCAGCTACTTTTGATGAACATCTTATTCCTTACATTAAAATGAGACAATGTTAGGGTTTGAGGTTTTTCTAAAAGGTTTGTATTAAAACAGAGCAGGACATTTGCTGAACCTATCCATATATTCAAGTGGTTATTTCTGATTGGAAAGTAGGGGGGTTGTTTCACAGTTGTCACTGCTGGAGTCACTGAAATGTGACTTTCCAGTCTTAGTAGCTTTTAATTATTCCAAGTAGTGATCTAGAAAACAGGGAGTTTCAAGGGGAATTGTACTGGAACTTAGTTTTCTGTTCAATCTTTAATTGGTACCTGAAAGGCTTAAATTGTAGGTTTGGGACAAAATTTAGTGAGGTAAAAATTATGCTTTAAAAAATGGCACCATGTATAAACTATAAGATTCAGATGTACTGGGAGATCCTGAAGAAGAATCCCACAAAAGGCCCGCTTGAGAAGGTCCTGGGCCTTGGAGAAAGGATGTAACACTCTGCGTGCTCGATCACACACACTTAGGCAGAGAGGACCTGATATAACTCTGGTATTGAGTGTTGGGATGCAAGTGGGCTATGAACAACAATAATAAAGAAAAATTAAAGGCGAAGATTAATGTCCTCCCCTTGTAAAATCAGCACCCAGTACTTCTCACATAGTCTCGAGCTTTCAAACTCCTTTTGCGGTTTCTATTTCATTTCTCTGCGGACGCCATCAGTGTCTCTGTTTTTCACACAGACTCAGAATATTCATGTCCCGGCCGATCAGCTTTAAAGAGCAGAAAGCCCAAAGCAAACCTTCCAAGCTCAGCTATGTGTTCACAGATGATGATGATGATGATAATGTTGTTTACTGCTGTTAACCCCCCTCCCCACTTCTGTCTTTTGCAGTTTATCTCAGTTCAGTGAAGAGAACATGATGGATCCCTACAATTTAGCCATCTGCTTTGGGCCAACACTGATGTCTGTGCCTGAAGGTCATGATCAAGTCTCTTGCCAAGCTCATGTCAATGAATTGATCAAAACTATCATCATCCAACATGAGAACATCTTCCCAGGACCAAGGGAGCTGGAGGGTCCAGTCTATAGCAGAGGTGGAAACACTGAGGATTACTGGTATGATAGATACCACTGAGGAGAAAATGAATGGGTGGATATTTATTTACGGGCTGGCATGCTACAGTCATGCGTTCTGCGTTATCTAATTCTGGGTTTGAGCATCTGGCCCAGCCTTTCAAAAACCTGTTTTATGGAAGAGAAGATGGCTCTGGTATCTCTGGAGAGGCATCACCTTAAAAGAAATAAGCTGGTAGAAAGTAACTACTCAGTTGTCAAACCTAGCTCACTGATCTTGAAGGGCAGGATTGTGTAGGGATTTTCTTGGATGTTCTGATATGGTGGCTGCCAAAATCAATCTCTCTTTTTTTTTTTTTTTAAATGTATTTTTTTTTCCCTTTCTTCTTTTCTCCTGCTTTTGCCTTCTTTTTCTGCTTGCCTTGAGTGCCTGTGCTTCAGACACAAGGGTCACTTGCAACTGAACCTAGAAAGCTGTGGCATGGTTTAATTTTCAGGGCAGCACTGATGGTGGGGGAGGGAAGAGGGAGGAATGCAAAATCACCATTTCCATCCAGCTTAAAGCTCAAGAGGCCCGGCTGCGCATTCAGTCTGAAAGCCACATCTGGAAGCAATTCAGCCAGAGCGGCTCCTGTCATCTGGGGTGGAAGGTTGGGGAGTGGGGGAAGGAAAGGAGGTGTTTTCTCTCCTACTGGCCAAGCTGATCTCTCCCTCTGAAAATGAGGAGTGTTCAATTGTGTCCTGCTTCTCCCCCCACTGCTTCCCTCTTCCAGTGTCCCAGGAATGCAAATGATTATTTTCCTATACTAAAATAAATACATTTTTTTTAAATAGAGTCACTCTGGTGACAGAGCTAGCCTTGTTTCCCTGCCTTGCTTCAGAGTAGCTTATACTATCAGCTCACTCCTCGTACGTGTGGTGAGGAGAGGCTCCTCTACACTAACTGCTGTAGCAGAAGACTTGCCAGAGCCTCGTTTGGAAATTCTGTTAATTTTACCCTTCACTCTAATGGTTTTAGCTGATGTTTTATATGTGAAAGAATTGTAGAGGAAAAAAAATTAAGAATCTTTATGACCTTAAGGCAACACGTTAGCTTTGACAAGAGGTTTTGTCCCATGAGGTGAAGGGAATAAAAATGTGAAATGTTCAGTACGGTCAGGATGGGTGACACTTCACATGAGCATGTGGGAGGCAAAATGTCCTGGAAGGTAATCTCAATTTTCTGAAGGCATTTGGTTTTTCTTCGTTGCCCTTCCTAACCCCCCTGACTTGAGACCCTATTAAGCAGAGAAGGGTAGAAGCAAGCAAGGGAGGCCGCTTAAAGCCAGGAAGAAGCATCTGGTTCCCATTCAAGCCTTCTCATAGCCCTGGTATTTAGATAGTTGTAAGTTATTGCCCACAGGGCTCCATGCCGCAAAGCATGCAAGCGGCAGAGTGAATCTTTGTCGTTCAGCTGATTCATCAGGGAAGGGAGCCTGCTCTGTTTGTGATCTCCTGGTGCCACTTCACCGGGCTGAGCCGTCTTTGTGCCGGGGAACTCGCAGACGATGCTTTGGCGTGGAGGCTGCCCGGGCTCGGTGCCACGGCTCGTGTGCTCTGCGCCTCCGTGCCTGCGCTCTCGCTGCGAACGGCACTCGCTTCACTCGGCAGCTGCCGAGGAGCTTTGAAATGGCTTGCCTGAGGGAGAGGAGGGTAGGGCAAGGTTCAGAGTTTATGACAAATTCAGGGCTGTGCTGCAGGCATCTTTGAAACGCTGCCTTTGAGTCAAGCCCAGGACTGTGCTGCATTTGTCTGTCCATCCGAGACTGCACGAGGACAGCATGGGGAGAGTCCAGGAGTCCTGCATACCGGCAAGTGAGACCATCGGAATTGCAGGGAAGAGGATAGCTTATAGACGCTCAGCTTGCACTGCATTCCTCTGGCGGTGTACACTGCTTGCACTTTTGGAGCCCTCGGGGTGAAACGCAGCAGACTGGTGCTTCCCACTGCAGCATCCCAGGGCTCACAGGACAGAGAGACTGAGTCTGCAGCAAGGACAGGTTTTTTGGTGGAAAGTGCTGTTGGAGGCATGGATAGGAAGAGGCATGTGGTCTTTCTGCAGTATTTGGATCTTTAGCGTTGGCTGTACGCGACATTACTTCACAGTCTATGTGAAACTTTAGCCCTCGATGCTGTGTTCCTCTTGGGACCTCCATTTGGCTTCAAATTCTTCTGTAAACTTTATTAAGTAGCATAAAGGCTTTGCAGAGGATGGGAAAGGTTGATTCCTGAGGTATTGACTCAGAAGATGGTGAGGCAGCTTCCTATCATGTGGATTAAGCATAGTGAGACACCAGAATTACTCAAACATTTTACCCTTTCCCCTTTTCCCCTCTTCTTTAAAAGAGTATAAGAGGTAGATTACTAAAGGGAGAGGACTTTACATCCATGATCACTTACTTTAACCATTGCAAGACCAAAATGAGGGATGAAGTTATTACCGTGCAAGAGAATTAAAAATCGCTTTTAAGGAGTTACAGGGTAAGAGTGCAGCAGACGCGTTTTGTCTTTAGCAACAGCATCTGGTAAGATGAGGAACAAGCACTTTTTTTTTTTCCTTCTAACATGAGCAGGCAGGGCAGGCAGGCAGCGCTGCCAGCTGGCAGCAGGTCTGCGGAGCTGCTTGGGAGAGGCAAGGGATCCTCTTCCAGTTTCCTTTCTGCTCCTGTCCTGAGGGAACTGCTCGTGTAGCTTCTTACAAAAATATAACCTCTGGTTGCCGTTTGTTGTGTACTGATCCTTTCAAAGCTTTTCTTCGTGGAAAACATAAATGAGTACTCTTGGTGGTTCAGGTGCTCTGTAAATAAAGATTCCAGGCAATTGATCTGGCCACGGGAGTTGTTCGGTGAAATGAATGGGACAATTTAAGATTGTGACAAAAGGGAAGGAGGGAGATGACAAACTCAGACCTGGAAATATCATTATGAATTGAGAAATAATTTCCCCCAGGAAGTGGCAGCTATCTCATCAGTCATCTAATGAGCTAATTAGAGCAATGGAGAATACAGCTGAGGGAATAATTCTGGCATGGCAGAGAGGAGCTAGACCCAACGTGCCACCACTAATCTGACTTCTGAACATCTCCAGAGGTCCGGGTTATAAGATCTGAAGTTGGACTTCCCTGATAGCATACAAGAAGGTTAACTAAGATGTTCTGTTTGCTTGATCAAATAAGAATTTAGCTTGATTTTTAGAGACAGTGACTTCAGTATGTGCAAATGCATCCGCAAAGTGTCTGTCACAGTGGAACCCAGATATTGACTTCTGATATGGTTGTTCCTAGTTAAGTTATCTTTGATTTTTGTAAATGAGGAAACTCAATTTCTACCACTGTCAAGCACCATCTATTTCCTTTTGTTGTAGCGAAAGTCCTCACGGAGAGAGAGCCTCAACGGAAGACTCGGTTCAGGACGTCACAGCTGAACACCACACCAGTGATGATGGTATGCAAAGTCCATTCACTCCTTGGTTAACTGCTGCAACCTGTGGGGGAGGCTGAGAGGACAGTGCCTTGCAATTTAAGTTCAACGTTTAGATCCAAAATAGAATTTAAATCAGAATAGTCACTTGAAACGTCACATACAGCATTTGATGACAGAAAGTCAAAAAGTATGGGATCAACAGGAATCTTTAGAAGTTACCTGACTATTTTTAAAGTATCCCTTTTTTCAAGGAGATCTTATCTTAGCAGCAGGCCTTGGCACATTCCACGCTTGCATGACTGACTGAGCTCATCTGTACCCTAGAAGGACTGTTGGAAGTCATGGGGAAGCGTAGAGCCAAAGGCTGGATATGTTTCAGCGTGCGCTCCTGCTCCCCTCTGCGTGTGCCAGGCATTTCCCCTTTCAGTAGCTTTGGCAAGGGAATTGTGAGTGCCTTAAGCCCCAGTGGTTCTGCTTTAAGGAAGCAAGCAAAATAAAATCAAAAACTGTTTGTCTTCCACTGAGAGCCAGGTTTTGGGGTAGGCGGTCCTGGTAGCCTCTCTCATTGATAATTTTTGGTTCTCCTTGGGGAAACTGTTAAGTTTCTTGTCTGATCAGTGAAAAGGGATGCCAACACTGAGAATTTAATGATATTTCCTAAGGAAAAGCTGATGCTGCAGTCTTTGAGTTCTGTGGTTGATACTTCCAAAGCCTCCTTCTGTGATGGGGCACAGCTGCATGTGAGCCCCATCCAGAGCAGAGGAAAAGATTACATTACCGATGTGAAACGGTGATCCCCAGAATACTGACCAGTATGTAAAGCAGACTGACCAAAACAGAATATGGTTTTATTCTTGGGTTTTGGCCCGTTGCAGTTGTCTAAGTAAGTTCTGCGATGGTTTTACTTGTGATGGCCTCAGTTGTAAAGGTGGGAAGAAGGTAGCATTCCCTTAAAATTAAGTGGCATCCTTTTTGAGTGGGTCTTTAGGAATTTGCTCAATAGCCCTGCCATGTGCTCCTATGCTGCTTTTTGCTCTTTTTGCTCCAGCAGCTGCCTAACAAACCTTTCCCATGGCATTGCTGTGCTCCTGCTGACTTCATGGTGTTCACACCCCGATAACAAAGTAATCGATGTTGAGCACTGCTAGGAACGCTGGAAAATCAGTTCTCCCTCAGCAAAGTCAAGCACTGTCACGATGACTCCTCACCAAGGTTGTTAGGAGGGAACACAAAGCCTACGGGAATGAAACATGAGTTTGCTGTCTGTCTTGAACAGAGGGTTCTTTCTGAAGAGTGTTAGATTCTTAAAAATGTATGAAAACATGTCCTTTTTGAGTTTGTACCTAAAGAAGGAGCAATTTCATTGCTGTAATGAAGGAAAGGCTAACTCATCCCGCACCTGTGAAGCCTGGGACTAAAGCCTGCAGGCTGATACACCGTGGCGTGTACTTGTATCTGCATGGGACTTTTAGATCGCTTCTGTGGCTGGGAGGGTACAAAGATGAGAAAATGAGCAGTTAGAGATTAGAGGAGGACACTGTTTTGCAGCCTCTGGAACTAGATTGTGTGGGGCCCCTGAGCAAGGTAAAATTTGGAGGCATTTTGGATGGAGTTCTGCAACCTACACGGAATATTCCATAGGAAGCATTTGGGAGGGAGCGTTTGGCACCAAAGCAGAGGAGGGAGCTGGGCCTCTATCTCTTTGCAGAAGCAGCAAGGTCTGACTAAGGAGTCTCACATCCCTCTGAGTGAGCTGTGCAGTATCACACCTCGGGCATACTCGTCAGAAGTGCAGCGTATAACTCTGCGACGCAGTGGGACGGATGTTCTTAGGTTTTTTGCACTCTTTCAGTCCTTAGATATGACCAAGCACTTGCTCCTTTAGCTCTTTGGTGAGGCTGGCACTAGTCCTACCAAAGTAAAGCTGTCATCCCAGCTGCCTTCATTGAAGGAAGGAATTGGTTTTGGGGTGAGGGGAGAGGTCGTGTTTTGCAGAGCATCCATGTTCTTCGCAGTCTCGCTGTGCGAGGGAGCGGACTCTCTGGTTTGAGACAGGCATAAGAGGTCAGAAATGCTGAAAGACAAGCAGGTCGTATGTTTGTTAAATTATGTGTATGAGTGGAAAGATTTTAAACTGCTGCTTTCCTGCACAGGCTGTCAGACTGGCAGGGGTAATTGTTTGGCTTAGCCTTACTGCTCTTGCACTGCTTTCTTCTCTGAGCATAAGTGTAGTAGGAAAAAGCTACTGGAAATTAGAGTCTAAAATCACTTCTCTGGACAAAAGCCAGAGTCCTAAAAAGCAAACTGGAAACATAAGAAACCTGAGTGCCGCACTCATCTGGAACAATAAACACTTCTTAATGAAACAGATGGAATTTACAAAACCACACTCCCATCCCCTTCGTAAATGGAGGGGGACACCAAAAAACAGCACTATCATTTTTTTAGTGTTATGAAGAAGCTGACTCCAGAGGGAAAACAAGCAAGAGGAAAGAAGGAGCCAAACCCAGATAACCGTGTGCTTCGGGGAGTCTGGAGCAAGGCGGCTATCGCAAGCTGCAAACATGGGCCAGGATTTTCTCACCCTTGCAAATCTCTCACTGGTTGCTGAGGGCTGATAACGGGATTGGTGTGAGGCTGACCACAGGCTTACCTGAAATGTGTGATTTGACAGAATTCTGAGCTGTCTGGTTTAGTAATGGAGAAATTAATTGCTGGGGAGTCAGTCTACCAGATCCTGTTGCTGATTGCCCTCAGTGCTTGGTCACGTAGTGCTTAGTAACTACGGATGCTGATGGGGCCCTTTGGTAGGGGGTGCTTCTGCTCTGCTCTCTCAGACCGGCTGATGAGACAGTGGTACTGCAGCATCGGCTCGCTCAGATGGATTCGCACTAGGTATTTTCTCAACCCCGGCTACTACCTTGCCTGCCTGTGGGCAGCCTTGGAGACCTAATTCTTGAGCGTATGCTCTCCTAAGGAATAGTTGTAAAAGCTGTGGCTCATGTTTGGCCTTCCAGTCCATTTTGGCTGTCTCTTGCACTGTAGAAGCTTCCTGTGATGCAAAGGAGACATCTGTATGAAATGGCATATCTTCCTTGTCTAGGAAGAGGAACCACAAATCTCTTTCTCCAGGAAAGAACTCAATTCCCATGGACTGCTTGGCTCTGTTAAAGCTCCTTTGAAGTAATTAGAGGCTGAAGTCCACTGGGGCTGTATGGTTGAGCTCATCTCTGTTCCCCTGCTGAGAATTGGGAGCTGGCTTAATATATATTTAGACTTAACTAATGGCAGATTTTTCGAAGTCTTAAAAATAACCCACATGAATTTCATATTGATTTTCCTGAGTGCCTAAATGCCCATATTGTCCCTCCGTATAGTATGAGAGTCCTGCAGGGACCTGGATTAGTGGCCGGTTGCAGACACAGCATGCCTGTAGTTCTTCTGTGAGCTTTTCAAGTAGGAGCAGTCAGATTTTGGAGCACATTGTGCAGCTCCAAGCGCAGTGCCGCTGCGCTCGGTGTGCACGGTGCAGCCCAGCTGTACGGAGCCCAGGGGAGCAACTTGCTCTCCTGATGGCTGCACAAACCGCAGCGGTGGAGGCGCTGAATGTTTTCGTTAGCATCCATGACAGTTCGATGAATAGCACGGCCTCCCACGGTGCCAGAATCCGGTCTCCTGGGTCAGGTGAACCTCACAGGCAGCAAAAATTTCCTTCTGAATAGATGCTTTATTTCTGAAGCAGCTTGGAATCAGAGGATGTTTCCCCTCCCTAAATGCTAATAACAACTCCAGCCTGCCTGCCCAGGAGGTTTAGCTTCGCTGCATTTAAGAAAGCATACCATAAGCAGATTTTTGTCTGGAACATGACTGATTGTTACCCAGCTTTGAAAGTTGTTTTTTTTTATTTTAATGAGATACTAATATTGCCATTGATACCATAAGCAGATTTTTGTCTGGAACATGACTGATTGTTACCCAGCTTTGAAAGTTGTTTTTTTTTTTATTTTAATGAGATACTAATTTTGCCATTGCCACTTCCATCTTTGTACACTTGAATTGCTGTAAGTGCGTTTATGACTTTGAAAATGCGATTGTGTCCACCACGTAGAGATTAGGTAAATGCTGAAATTGCAGCATCCTCATATTATAGGGGTTCCCCTCTGAATCTTCCTGCTTCAACCCTCTGCTGCCTTAAGAAGCAACACTTTATCCTCTTCCATGCTCTCATCATAAGCTGGTTTATGGTAGGTTTAAACTGTGAATACTTACCTGAGCCCAAGTGTTTAGTGAATTATTGTTTATTCCCTTCTATCTCCTAGAGTGTGAGCCCATAGAAGCAATAGCGAAGTTCGACTACATTGGCAGGACTGCACGAGAGCTGTCCTTTAAAAAAGGAGCTTCTCTCTTACTCTATCAGCGGGCCTCAGATGACTGGTGGGAGGGACGCCACAATGGAATTGACGGCCTTATTCCTCATCAGTATATCGTCGTTCAAGACACGTATGTTACACTTTAAGCCCATCTGCAAGATGGGCTTGCTTAAAACTCAGGTGTGGAATGGAGTGTTTGTGTCAAGATGTTGACACCAGGTGGGGAGAGTTCATCCTTCGACCTTCCCTGCGAGAAGGGAGTCCTCTTGAAACAAGCAGAGCTCCGCAGAGGCATAGGTGTCCACGTATGTGGACGTGTGATACAAAAATTGTTCTGGTGCTGCCAGCCTGTTAAAGAGGCAGAGCTGGGATCTCCAGGTTGCTCACAGAAATCAGGCTCTCTCATTTGAAAGATATGTGATGATTCTTAAGAGAAGGATGCTAGCACAGTGCTGTTGTCCTGTATGTATGTTTAAATACACAGTGCTGCATCTGAAATTCAGTGCTGTTGGTCCTGTTTTGGTTGTGATTTCCTTCCCTCCTCCTTCCTAGTGAGGATGGTATCTCTGAAAGATCCAGTCCGAAGTCTGAAATAGAAATAAATTCTGAGCCACCGGAAGAAAAAGTGACTGCTAGAGCTGGTGCCAGTTGCCCAAGTGGGGGTCACGTCGCAGATATTTACCTTGCAAACATCAACAAGTAAGAACAGCCTTGCATTATTTTACTTAACTGTGAAGATCTTGGTGATGAGTCCAGTAAATTATTTCCTTCCTTGAAAAAGATTAAGTAATGAGCGCTGCTACCATTTTTTCTCTGCTTCCCCCTCTTCTAACTTGTTCACATTTTGCTGTCCTCTCTCTCTCTGTCACCAGTGTGGCCGATGCTCATTTAAAATCCCACTGGCTTCTCTTTCCTATCCCTAAGGTGCCATCTGTTCCCGTTTTCCCAAATATGTCCTGTTTTATAAGCTAAACACACAAAGAAAGGGAGGTGAATGATGGAATGAGTTCTTGTAATCATGTGTTCCCGTTCGTTGTTATGTTCTGTGATTTGTTATGTCTCGTTTACATTTAATATGTTTCGTTTTATTGGGTGGGGGACAATTCCTTCAGAAACTAGTGTCACATTTTGTGCTAAATGACATCATCTTAAGTCCCACCATCTGGCATTGCCTGTAACATTCTTTGATTTCTCCAGCACTTCTCACCTTAGGTTACTAACCATATGCTTGCAGTGAAACAACACACCTCCCTGTTGCTCTAACTTTACCTCCTCAACCAGTAATTGTTGCTTTAGTGAACACGCAACATAACAAAGAGCTGGGAAATTAAGCTAGTAACAGACTAAATTCCTTGATCTGTTATTTAATTATTCTAGAGCAGACTTTTATCCCCCGTATCTTTCTGATTATTTTCTTAGTATGAAAAAAAAAAACCACCTCTATTATGCAGTGAAAATATTAATATGATAATTGCAGTTTTATGGGAGTGGATATTTTTAACCTTCAGTTAATTTAACAGAATGTAGTCTATACAAGCATTAACAGAAATGCATCCTTTTTAAAGGTTTGGACCTGCTAATGTCCTACACAGAGCCTGGTCCTTAGTTTATGGGAGTTGGCAGAGCTCCACTGATGTCTATGAAGCTATGTTAATCTGCATCAGCTTGGGATCTGGGCTTTCTTTTATGATATTTATTGTCTGAGCCATTGAAGTATGCCATTCTGCCAGTTACGGAAAGATTTGTGTAATGAACAGACCTATGTTGGAGCTTCACCATCTGCTGGTCTTGGTAGTGTTCTGTGTAGTGCTTTTAAGAAGCCTGGGTAATGTCCACTCCAGTTTTTTTCCCTTTACTAGGGAAACTGATATTTAGCAATAGTAGCATAAGACTCATTTTGTTGTTTTTTCTTTAGGAATGAATCTTCTGACCTATGTGTGAACAGACTTGGGCAAAATTAAATCAGATGGTTTCGCAATGACAGTTGTGCCACCCACTGAATTATTATTTGGATGCCAAAATCCTACTGGAGTTAACACTTTCTTGCAGTTATTCATGGGGCTGGTGCTATATATAAATGGATCCTTCCCTGTATAATGGATGCCAAGCTTCAGACCTATGGCATAAAGTATTCTGCTGCATTGGCCTTCATATGGTTTGAATGGAATCGTGCTGTCAGACTGCATGGTGCTGGGGTAGAAAGTAAATTTTTTGGACCAGGTCATCCATTTGACATCATCTTTTGGTGTATTTGTAGCCCTACATAGATAATGCCTTGTGGTCCTGCTAAAGCAATGAAAATGAAACACCTGTTACCACCAGCAAATATTGGAAATGATCATTAACCTCAAACTATGGGGTTCTTTGCTTGCCAGTCTCTGAAAATAATAACTTGATGCCTTGGGCCAGGAGCTTAGTAGACTTATACTGTGTCCTCCAGTCAAAAATTGTAGCTCTGCTCTTCTAATGTAATAAAAACACATCATCAAAACCTGTTGATGGCACAGAGGCTTTTTTTGTTCAAATATAAGCACTTTTCCTTTTGACCAAGTTAATTACATTCCATCCAAGTGTTCTGTTTTTGCTTTGAATGTGCACAGCTGCCAGAAACTCAGTCTTGTTGTTAGAAGTGTTAAACTGGAACAATATATAATTTTACTGTTTCACGATGACTTCTAAAATCCTGGGTGTATTTGTAATCTGGGTATCTTTATGTCTCTTCCCATTGTCCTCTGTGTTGTTTTGGGGGGATATCTTCAAATTACAGCCCGTTATGTGTACTTGCTTGTATTGACTTGTTTTGCTTTTGTGACTGAAGGCAAAGAAAGAAACCAGAGTCAGGCAGCATCAGAAGAGCCTTCCGTCAAAGTGACAGCCATGGACTAGGTAGTTCAATGGCAGAACCAGCCTCCCCAGGAGCCATAGCCGGTTCCAGGCCCTCATCTCAGCCCATTATGAGCCAAAGTCTTCCCAAGGAGGTTCCAGATAAATGCTCCATCAGTGGCCATGGCAGCCTCAATTCTATCAGCCGACACTCGTCTCTAAAGAACAGGATAGACAGCCCGCAGATCCGGAAAACTGTGACAGCAGGGAGGTCTAAGAGCTTCAACAATCATCGGCCCATGGACCCTGAAGTTATTGCACAGGTAAATAGGAGTGCTTTGCCTTAAAGATTTGTTTTGGAAACTTAAAGGATGTTGGATACAATGAGATGTTGTAATGCGAAGTCTGATTTAATCTCGTATCCCTTCCCTTCTCTCAATGCAATATTAACTTACTACCAGCTTGGGTCTAGTCTTTCAGCCTTGCTTTGTGTTAAGTCACTGAGACTGCTTTCATGAGTGAAGATACGGTCAGGTCCTTCCTCCATAAAAACTTGGCCCTGTTCATTATTCAGAATTTAGTTTCAACAATAAAAATGTCCATTTCAGAAAGTTACACAGATTTCAAAGCTGTCAGCGAAAAATTAAACAATCATAACTTCAAGACTTGAGAAAAGTGAAGTATTTAGTGTCAATTTAACATTCTCCTGTCAGTTGTGCAAACTCGCCTGTGGTTAGACATTGGAAGCATATGGAGTAGTACAGGCAAAATAAAAGCAGGCTGCTGAGTTTTACAGTGCTCACAGTGGCATCTTTGTATGCTTACAGGGTTCAGTGTGTGGTTAGAAACCAACTTTGAACATAATACTGCTAGTTTTAATTAGTTATTTATTTAGACAAGTGCCTTGAAATGAGGGCAGGCTACCGATGGGTGTGCAGCTATGCTTTGACTCTGCAAAGAGCTCCGCTTTTGGGGCTGGCTCCCCTGAGCAGAGGACAAGGAGACAGTCTTCTCGGAGTCCTCCTCTGCTGCTTAAAGGGAAAGGTGTTCTTAGGATTTTTCTTAGTCTTTGCTAGTTTTGACACAGACTAGTTTATTGCAGGTTCTTGGTCTGTGTGGACGTTCTCTGCGTCTCTATGCGCAGAGACGTGTCCCGTCCCCATCCCTGGGACGGCGCGCTGCCACAGCACTGCCTGCCCTTAACAGGGACACACGTGAGGTCTTTGCATCCGTCGTTTCACAGGTAGAACTGAAAACGATTGGAAGTCAGACTTCGATTTGAACAAGTGACAGCTACTAATGGGGTGACTGATGGCAACGTCACAGGTTTCCCTCTTCCATGAAGGATCCTCCCGTTCTCCCACTCCGAGCCGTTAGATGTGCCTGCACACGTAGGGTGCCTGTACCCACTGTTCTCAGCGTGCGGTGGATCCGTGGAAAGCCAAGGAATGCGTGGGTCTGGGATTACAAAGCCAGCCCTGGGAGACCTGACTTCTCTGCGTGGTTCAGGAGTATGTAGGTTTCTAAGGAGCTGGGGGAAGATATGTGAAAATTAAACATCACTTTTATTGACACAACAGCAACGCCAAGTAATAAATAAGGTCTAAATAACAATCCAGCACGTATTCTGATGGAAAGTTGTATTTTGCCGTTATGAATATCTTGAGCCCATTTGTTACAGTGGAATTATAATATATGGTTCTTCTTGTCTTCATATTTCGTTGTCCTTCCAAGGCTTTGGTTGACATAAATCAGTTTCTTTGTTTTTTCAATTAAGCTCTAACTGAAATTGTTCTGTCTCCTCTTCCTGCCAGAACGTTAACTCCATTGTTTTCACTGGAGAAGAGTCTGAGGAGAAAAAGAAAAGAATGAGGAGGGAGGGAAAAAAAAAAAGCTATGTTAAATTAGTGTTTCTCTTTGCCCTGTAGTATCTGTTCGAACACCACCTAATGATCAGGGTGCATTTTACGTATTTTCCCTAACTTCGTAAGTGAAATCTGCCTGGCCTCAAGATAGGCTCGGAGGTGTTGGATTACTGTCTCTGGTTTCTTCCACCATTCCTTGACTGATTTACCTTCCCCACCCCCTGAAAAACCTCTAAGGAAGCGAAAAAGCCTCAGCCAAACTGTGAGTCACAGAACGGCTGAGCTCTTCTGTGCACCAGTGGGCTCCACGGTGCGGGCTGCAGCAAACATGTTACTCCTGCTGCAGCTGAGAACTAAAAAAGCCACGTTTTTATCTCAAAGTTCTCTTTATATTTATTTGTTAATACCTGTAATATTTTATAAGAGGAAGGAGAACTGCCAACTTGAATTTCTAGATATGTTTCGGTTGACATAAATCAGTTTCTTTGTTTTTTCAATTAAGCTCTAACTGAAATTGTTCTGTCTCCTCTTCCTGCCAGAACGTTAACTCCATTGTTTTCACTGGAGAAGAGTCTGAGGAGAAAAAGAAAAGAATGAGGAGGGAGGGAAAAAAAAAAAGCTATGTTAAATTAGTGTTTCTCTTTGCCCTGTAGTATCTGTTCGAACACCACCTAATGATCAGGGTGCATTTTACGTATTTTCCCTAACTTCGTAAGTGAAATCTGCCTGGCCTCAAGATAGGCTCGGAGGTGTTGGATTACTGTCTCTGGTTTCTTCCACCATTCCTTGACTGATTTACCTTCCCCACCCCCTGAAAAACCTCTAAGGAAGCGAAAAAGCCTCAGCCAAACTGTGAGTCACAGAACGGCTGAGCTCTTCTGCGCACCAGTGGGCTCCGCGGCGCGGGCTGCAGCAAACGTGTTACTCCTGCTGCAGCTGAGAACTAAAAAAGCCACGTTTTTATCTCAAAGTTCTCTTTATATTTATTTGTTAATACCTGTAATATTTTATAAGAGGAAGGAGAACTGCCAACTTGAATTTCTAGATATGTTTCTGATATCTTCTGTGTTTTCTAAACATTAAAATTTTGAGTCCCCTGTAATATCTTTCTGGGGAAGGCAGGCGACTCGGACAGGAGGAAACCCCATGAGGCAGCAAGAGCACACAAGGACTTTGGCATTCAGTGTGTGGTCCTTCAGCCAGTGTCAAAGTCATCAATCCCTTCTTCAAGAATTTACTCTCCCGAATCTCACGTGCCAAATAAAGTGCAAGAATGGATCCTAATGCTTTGAGTCACATGCTTTTCTGTTCATTGCTTCATTTTGGGATGGTACTCGTCTTTGAAGTCCGAGCAGCGTCAGGACCAGTAAAGGACCAGATTAGCATCAAGAAAGTGCAAGCAATTATTTTGCTCGCTGTTGATGGAAAATACTACTGCTCATTGGCTTCAGCATGTAATGCTACGTAGTTTGGCGTGGGTTTCACTTCGACACCTAAAGGTCCTTGACCTGCCAGTTGATCTGAGTGTTGGTGTTTACAGGCTGAAAACAAAAGCGTCGTTCTCAAAGGCTGACTTTTATCTCTCTGTTTATGTGTCTGGGTTCTGTTATTCACTTGGTTTCTCTTCTGTGTTTGCAGGATATTGAAGCTACTATGAACTCTGCTCTGAACGAGCTGCGGGAGCTGGAAAGACAAAGCAGCGTAAAGCACACACCAGATGTTGTCCTCGACACCCTGGAGCCTTTGAAGACGTCTCCGGTGGTGGCCCCCACCTCGGAACCTTCCAGCCCTCTGCACGCTCAGATCCTCAAGGACACTGAACCAGCTTTCCAGCGCAGCGCTAGCACAGCCGGTGACATACCGTGCACCTTCAGGCCAGTGAAGTCGGTCAAAATGGCCACCCAGGTGAAACCTCCGGCAACTCGGCCGAAGCCTACAGTTTTCCCCAAAACAAACGCCACGAGCCCTGGCGTTGCCTCCTCTGCATCTCAGCAGCCTGCTGACAAGTCCTGTACTGTCTGATAAACTTGATGCTGCTTTGTGGATACAACTGTATTGTTTCAGATGAAGAGACTCTGTTAAAGACATTAAAATGCCTATTTAACTAATTTTTGAACTTCTGCTGAGGGTTAGTTGTGAACTGCTACTTACTGCTGGGAGCGTTTCCTGGGAGTGAACTAAGTGGTAACAACCTCGTCCCATGTACCCGCATCAGTGATGTTCGTAAGGCAAAACAGTTGGTGCCACGCTTAGGAAATCCACTGTCGGGTCACTGTGAAGCTGAGGAGGAAAACACACAAAAAGCGATGAGCTGGATCTTGGTTTCTAGTTGATGCCTTGTTCAAGTGTTTGACCACTGAAAGAAAATATTTAGTGGTGTCATGTTTTGAATACTGGTGTAGTGACTTATATATTCTGTGTTTCATTTATCACAGGGAAACAATAGGATAGATTTTAGTCTATTGCATGTTTTGGTGCCACTGGTTACGTGGAGCTTGGACATGCCTGTTTCTTGTGCATTATTATTATTATTATTACGTCGCCCGCTGGTGCCACGGTGGTTAAGGGTCTGTCTCGACTTCCATCACATCCTCTGGTTTTGTTTGTTTGCTCCCCCGTTCCTCCCCCCAGGGCCAAAGCTCTTGGCCATCCAGCCTCATCCTTTAGACGACACTTGTCATGAAAAATAGTTTACTCTGGAACACTCTTAGATTTTGTGGAGTTATACGTAATATGTGTCTGTGCGAATATAAACAAACATGTTCCTGAGGTTTAGGAGCATAAGAAAGAGCCCAATTGTTGCTTATGGACAATCTAGCTGTTTTTCCCCCCTTTAGTCTCCCGTATTTTAAAACAGCTTTGTTGTTTTTCAGTGTAATTTTCAGCCCGTAGGCTATGATGTGGTGTGTGGTCTCGGGAGACTGAATGTAAAAACAAGTTAACTTTTGAAAACTAAGCGCACTCTGATGGGAGTTCATTTACTAACGCACACGTTCTTGTTTTGATCATATATCAAGATGGATCCTTACCAAAATCCCAGTTACAAGCACTGTAAAAACTTCAATCAGAAGTTCTCAAGCTTTGTATCTTCTCCCTCTTTCTGGCTGCAAACGCTTCGGTCGGTGGCTGTGACCGCTGTGAACTGCTTTAGGGATCTCTGCTCTTATAGAGCAGTGTCGGAAACGCTGCTGGGGACAGTGACGTGACAGCATGCAGCTTCTGGAGTGGCTTCCCTACGTGTTCGTTGGTAGACTGGCATGCCTCTGTAGGACTCCGCAGACAAGTGAATGAATTCTTAGTATTTGTATTTATATGGTAGGCAGCAAATGCTTCAGCCACTAGCAGGCTGCATGAACTCTTTTGTACTCTACTGAGAATTTTCCACAATGCTAACACTTATTTAATTAAAAAAAAACCAACAACAAAAAAAAGGCATGTGCCACTTACAACAGTAAAGAAGATTTCGCAGTCCTGCAAGAGAGGAGACTCTGGCTGACCCTCAGTTCACCTTGTTCCCAAACTTTTCTGGGATTTAAAAAAAAGCTGCACATCTTATATTTTCATCAAATAAATTCAGGCAAGGACAAGATAAGAAAAGTCATTTTTCTCTCCCGTTTAGCTGAGTTTCTTTTACATTTGTGGGTTTCGCACACTTGCTTCTTTGTGACTGCAATGTCGTTTCATTTGGCACTTAGTAATTAAAAAAGAAGAAAGAAAACTTACATTTCTAAGGACAGTTTCTGAAATGTACTTTTCTGATTCATTTAGGATGTTACTCGGAGAAATGAACAGGGTTTTCCTGTGTCCCTGTCCATTCCCATGCGCACACCCCATCTCTACAGAAGTAATATATCCATATTAATGATGGTTTTTAAAAACACCAACTTTCTCTGTTCCCTACATTAAGAACATATGAAAATTGGGGAACACCGGAGAGATTTCAGTGAGAACACTCTTTATTACTCATTTCTCCGTAGCTGATCTGTAGCAGCAGTTCCCTTGGGAAGCGCCGCGGTACGTGTGTGACTGTCACTGGACCTTGCCCTCTTCCTCTCGCAGGGGAAGATCCCCAACAGTGCGACCAGCGACCTTTGCTCTCAGGTTCTGACGGACTTCTACCACCAAGGAATCACTTGTTCTTTTGGGGAAAAAATAGAATTAAACTTGTAATTTTTTGCTCAGGCAGAACTTTCTGGCATTTACTTTTAAGTAGGGAGTTTTTGGTTTTGTTTTCTTTTTGGTCATGAACGACCAAAGTTAATCTGTGTCAAGAGCAGGATCTCTGTAAATTTACGTCGACTCATTTGTAATGCCTTATTTTCTTTATATTCTTATGCCTAGCATTCATGTTTCTAAGAATTAAGTGTCCAGCCACGCACAGCACATTTGGAGGAGATGCTCTTTTCTATCTTCGAGGTCTGAAGTATGAATGGAAATTAACAAATAAATAAATAAAAAAAAGACTTCAGGTTACTGTAACAGCGACTGTCTGTATATGAATTACTGTGCTTATCTCTAGCATCCACAGCTCTGGGACAATCCTACTGTCAAGGGGAATATGCTTAGCAGGATAACCTGTATATCGAGCAACTCAACTGGAATTTTGGTGTGCACTGTGATTGACACTTACCCTTACAGCAAGCAATATGGCAGGCTGAAGGTCGTCCTTCCTCTTCCACGGGCTCCGGGTCTGGCCAGCCAGCAGAATTCACACACGCACACACACATAGGAGAATAAAAAACAGAAAAAGGAAGCTTTTAGCTTGTCTGCTTCACTCTGTGAACGTACAAGGCTGAGAGAAGAGTTGCCGCAAGTGTTTTATGACCAGTTGCTGCAGGAGAGGTGGGAAGGAGAAACTGGAAATGTCGGCACCGCTCCCTGCGAAACCAGTGGGCGTCTTGTAGTAGAGACCAGTGTCGGGTGGACAAGTACGACACGGTGGTTTGCTTGGGGAGGTATCAATGTTACTTCATATCTTCATATTCAGAAGAAATATTAGCTCTTCCATGGAAATTCTCTTTCATGACTTTTATGTAATGTTTGTGTCAAATATAAAGACAAGAAGTGTTTGATAACTGGAATAACGTATGTCTGTTTGATAGTGCTTTGTATGAACAAAGGGTTCTTGTTCATCAGATGTTGGATTGAAATAATCCAAAGCAAAACTTTTAAAATAAAATGCGATTTTAGGTGATCAATCTTAATAGTTTCTGAAGCTCTAACCTTTTATGTTTTATTTCCCTGGTTGGGAATTGAGCAGTGTGCTTTAACGGTTGCTAAATTTCTGCCTCTCTAAGGTAATCCAAAGGCTCACAGTTTATAAATTGTAAATTTGTTCTTCATGTCAAAGCAGTGGGACACGATCAAACTCTCTCACTTTATCTGTACTGGATATTTTGTTGCAATGAAAATGATTAAAAAATTAATTAGAGTGCACTGTGACAGCAGAAAAAAATTGTTGTATATGTATGTATTTTGATACCTGTTCAAAAAGAGTCTTTGGGTTTCCTGTGCTGAATACCTCATATGTTGGGTTTGGGGAGTTTTTGTTGATTTTATTTTTTTTTTTGGTTGATTTTTTTTTTTTTAAGGCAAGATTGTTCTTGCACAAAAGTAGGTTAAGATAACCGAGTTCTCATAAATTTATTTACCGAATCAAAACACTTCAGAGTTTGGCAAGAAATTCCATCTGTTCTAGTTCCCCACCTTGCACTTGGTACGGGGTGAGCAGTCGCTCGGCTGTTTGCCTGCGCCCTTGGAAGAGCTCTAGCAATATTAAGACAAAAGAGGTCATTGCAGATGGAGTTTGCTGCCCGATTTATCTTCTTTTGTGTGTCAAAACCTCAAATTCAGTTGAACGTTGTATGGGTTTGGAGATTTGTTAAGCATTTGAGAGATGTTCTTCAATAGAAATAAATGTCTCTAGTTAGCACTTCAGATCCTGTAGGTACGCGTACCTGATAGACTGGAATGCGCTGTCGCCGGATGAAATACGGATGGAGGGAACACCTAAAGGAGATGATGCTCTCAGCAGGGCGGAGTTTGCTAATAAGGCAACGGTCACGATGGAAAAAGACAATTTGTCTGATTGACTCGGTAAGACATTGAGCTGTCTGGCCCCGATCCAGCACATCAGGGAGCACAGGCTTGAGTTTAAGCCCCGGAGCAGCCCCTGCCCGTTACCCCTCCGAGCTCGAGCGTGTGGTGCCGGTTTAGGGGGCCAGGTCAGGGGTACCTGCACTTGGCAGGATCAAGCCCTGACTGCGTAGGGCTGTGCCGCAAAGTATAAACGCATCTACTCACTGGCCTATGAACCACAAGCCAGGAAAATGGCTTTTAAAAAAAAAAGCCTAATAGGAAAACAGAAGCCTGTGGGCAGTCTCATCGCTAATGAGCCTGTCCAGAAAATGAGTTTAACAAGCTGGGAATTTATTTATTTTGAAACTTCTAGTTTTCACAAAAATAATGAGCCTTTTTGTGGGCTTATCTGGCCTTGGCTAGCATCCCCTAAATGCAGTTAGAGACGTAAAGCTGTTTCTTCAGCAGACTGGTACCACTAGAGGCCTTCGTGGAAGGGAGCGACGACGTCTTCCGTGGGTGAGCATCATTCCCTGTGGGATGCTTCCCAGCTCCGGGAAAAGGCCGAGCACTTACAGGCACTCTGGACTGAACTTTGGGGGTTGAGCTTACATACCACTTTTGAAGATAGTCCTCTCTCTGGATCAGCTTTCTGCTTGTCTCTCTGTGTGTGTGTGTGTGTGACAACCTGGTACTTGAAAAAAAAATATATACTTGACCCACTGCCTTGTGCCCGCCGAGGCTCCGAGGGGGCCGGGGTGGTCCGGTGGCTGCAGGACAGGTTTTCATCTCTCTGCCTCCGCCGACCGCCCCGCCAGGAGACAGATGAATTATTTTCCAGCCTTGGTTCTAGGAGTCTATTTGGTGGATCTAGAGATGTCGAAACAGCAATTCAAGGCCTGGAAAATGTAAGGGTGTTTTTTTTTTTTCGTTTTCCTGTTAT